ACTGCAATATGTTATTCTTAGTGCACAAAATATAAAAGTTGGTTATTGAGATTTAATTTGAAATTTATACTAGACCGTACAATAAAAAATAATTGCTTGTAATTTCAGAGTATCAATTTGTTAATGACTCAAAAAAGAACATGCGGATTTCACCATATCCGCAGTTCCGCATCCCATAGGAACGCACCCTCAGGGTACGTTTCCACTGAGCGCTCCACGTAGATAGAAATAGTAGTACTAAAGTATGCATTGTCAGAAATTTGAAGAGTGGGGTAATCCGCATATAGAAAAGAACACACTCATTTGAGTCATGAACATAGAAATATAAAGACCGAGCATAAACTCGTAAAATAGTCGAGGGGAGTGAAATGCGGGAGATGAGTGTGCCTAATTTTTATTGGCTATGGCTATGCGCATGCTCAGTACCGCTAACTTTCAAATGATTGAAATTTTGAGCAATAACAGAAAAGTTAAAATACAACAATATAAGATATAAGATCTGTGTCTAAATACTACGCAGAATGGAAAATACGTATCTTTCCTACAACCAGAGGAAATTTCATAGAAAAAGACAGATTTGGAGTAATCTGAATCGACATTAAAATATATAGACCGAGCCTTTTGCGAGCATGTATTATACGTAAGTATATTTTATCTTATATAAAATATTATTAATATATGTATTTTTGAACATACTGTCATAAAGCTGTATTTTATATATATACATATATATATAATTTACAAAATTAAAAAAATATGTATATAATAATTATATATAATAAAATATGTGTATATAATATTTATAGTAAATTATAAAGTAAAATTATTTAAAGTGAGATTAAACTATGTAGTTGTATTTTTATATAAAAAAATTAGAATATTAAAATTTTATAACAAAATGTGTGATACATTTGTTTATCATTTGCAAGTTTCCACGGAAAGAACACATAATAAATTTTATTGTCTGTTAAAATAAATGCATACATATATATTTTTATTTGCATATACTTATATATATAGGCCCGTATTCAGAATGCGTTTTTATTGATAAAAGCGCGCTTTTATCTCTGAAATTCTACAGTATGCGTAACGTAAACTATAGCATAAAGTATAACGTATAGTGTATAAGAGAATCAGACGGGGAGCACAGACTCTTGCTAAAGAACTCTGATTGGTTGAATTTCTTATGCCTTATATGTGAAGCTGGAGTCACATTGAGCGAAAATTACAGCGGAACGGAACAGTGAAACCAATCAGAACTCTACAATCATTCCGCTGCTTTACTTTCTGCGATTGTGATTGGTTTCGCTGTTCCGTTCCGCTATACATTTCCGCTCAATGTGACTCCAGCCTTATGCTTTATGAAAGAATCTGTGCTGGTCTGTGCTTCAGCCAAATGGCTCCAGCACACTGAGCGCGGAAACGCTTGCCACGCAGCAAAATGTGGTAGCCAATGAGCTTACAGCTCCTAACATGTTCATTGGCTACCGTACGTTACGGATTGGCTGTTGCAACAAATTTGTGACCTGCGACGTCTACGATACGACCAATGTAGAATGGGCACCTAGGCCGGTATTCATAGTCGGTTTTTATTTCAAGACTGTCTTAAGTAATGTCTTAAGATGCTAAAGCGGTCCTCTGATTGGTTCGTAACTCCTCAAGACTGAACTTAAGACAATCTTGAATATAAGAACTGACTATGAATACCGGCCTTAAAATCGACAACTTAGCATTATGGTAGAGTGGGGGTAAAACCAGCGCGCTTTTTTCTTCGCTGCATGAAATCGGAAATGGCACGTTTAGTCGTATTTGAACATAAGAGCTGGTAGTTGCAATCTGAAACCGTCGGACTTAAGGTTTAAGGATTAAGCTGATAGTTGTTTTGTTGCTGAAGTAAATGTGTTAGTTGAATAAATAATATGTTTAGTTGAATAAATAATATTCAGTTTAGAAATTGTAATAAAAAAAAGTGAAATAAATTACAATATGAATAGTAACAATAAAAATTACGAAGGGAATAATAGCGAGATGAACTATTATACGAACAATAGTGACTTTAATAATGACATTATATGGGATTTTGGGCCCGAACTGAATCAAAGTGTTTACGGTAGCCAGTATTTTCCTACTGTAAGTAAATAAAATTTCAATATTTTCTATTTAACTGTTATATTAATTAATCTGTTCATTCATTTTTTTTTAAAATAAATGCATTTTTTAACACAAAAAACGGACCGAACTAATTTATACACCTAATAATATAAGAGCGCGGCGCAGTAAGGTAGTTGCATATACATCAGCCACGTGCTTGCTATTTAGCGGTGGGCCGAGCAAATTTGGATATTTTTATAAATTAATATTTTGTTAACTATTGCGAAAATTGTAAAATGGTAAAATTTTTCATTACTTGTCAAACATCCTGTATGTATTATTTATTTTTAGTGCTCTCTATCAAATATCTTATTGTTAGCTAACATTAATTATTCCTGAAATGTTCGATTTGTATTCTCGAATATTCCGGAACAGTAAAAAAATGTTCATAAAATATTTAAAATTATATGACCACTTCTTGTAATTGGCATGATAATTAATAGAAAAATTTTTGCAGAATGGATGAAAATTAAACTGAGTAAAAAAGTTCTCTATTTGCAAAATAGCCAAAATGTAAGTGCGCAGCGAGATAAGACCTTAACAATTAAGATGTCGTTGCCATCTAATAATATGACAAGTTTAAGACGGCAAAACGACTATGCATGCTTGTCGAGCGAATGAGCATTACTGATTTTTACCTATAAATTCAACTAATTACGTTTAATTACTCAGCAAGCAGATCCAGCCCCTTTGTTGACTTGAATTCGCCCAATGTGCAACGATAAATGCACATTGCGTTCAAAGGTTTGGCTATCTTCATAAATTATAATAACTCGTTAACTACTGCGAAAATCACAAAATAGTAGAGGATTCTTCCATTCAGTTTAATCCATTCTGCCACTATTTTTCGAGTTTTTTGTTAATTATGGAACAACCTATACATCACGAAAATTACTCACAAACAGTATGTATTTATTATGCTGACAGAAAATAAGAATCATATTGAAAAGTATATATTGAGATCCGATAATCTTAAAAATTTTCGCTCGTATGAAGTATGTTCTTAAAATTGGACTGACAATGAATTGAAAGTAAATAAAATATATTTTTAATAGTGTAAACAATTTTAAGAGATTTTAATAATATTTCAGGAATATTTAGCATTAGCTAGGTAAATTAATATCCCATTATTTAACTATTGAATCTTTAAATCGAATGATTTTTTATTTTAAAATCTCTTGATTTTAACATTTTATTAAGAATAAAAATGTTTCGAACTATTTTTTATTTGTTTTTTTTTTGTAATTCTATGCATAGTGAATCTGTAAATTTTACATTTAAATCTATAGTTAAAAAAAGCAGCGGATTACAATTTATAGAGAGTCTTAATTTATTCTAGGGCAAGTAAGTTATGAAGTCTATTTAGTTAAGTTATTATATATGATTATATACAGTTATATATATTGCATTTATATACTATAAATATCTTAATTTCAAAGAAATTTTCATTGATCTAAAAAAATTTTTTTTAAATACGAATAAAAAAAATTAAGACATTTTTATCAATGTATCTAATTAATACGTACAGACGTTATTAATTATATTATTTTTATTGCATTATTTTTATTAATAACAATTATAATGGAGATAATAATAAGAGCACTAAACATTTTTCTTTGTATTTTTTTCAATTAAAAATTAAATTCAATTCATTCTGTTTTAAAAGAAATAAATAGTAGCTGATACAATTTGATAGGTTGATACAAGCTATGCTTATACAAGTTACGCTGTATGTGAAAAAGCAGCCTTAGAAATTCATAGTTTTTCATAGATATTGATAGTGATATAGATGCTGTTAATGACTATTAATTAATGCTATTAATCACAACACATGTGTAGTTAAACGGGATGCTTCCAAAGACGTTCTTTAATTTTTAGATATCTTCATTCAATCAAATTTTAATCAAATCTATGTCACAATGTTGCGTTTTAAAGCAAATTATATGTATTCTTTCATATATAATTTATTTTAAATTGAACAATTATTTAAAATCATATTTTATAATTTCGTTTTTATGTGTTTATGTAATCAATAAAATGCTCTTGTACACAAGATATGCGTGCAATGTATACATACGCAGCGTTCTAAGAAACGCACTGCAGGTCATAATCCGTTAACTTTTATCTATAAGAGCCCAGACACAATAAGCTTTTGCATAGTGCATAAGAGAGTCAATTAAAATTCTTTTCTATGAAGTGATTGGCATTTCTATTAGATTTAAAAATATAATCAAACAGATACAAGAACTAACTGAGCGCTCTATGAGCGGTCATGCTTCTGGATGCACCCCGTTGTTAAACAAGAATAAGACGATCATTGTGTTGTATTGTGTCGCTTGTTGAAGACACAAAAGGAAAAGGCACACAAAAAACTAAGACTAATAATGTTTTCGATCCAACTGGGTTCTTTGCACTAACCTCTGGATTGAATAAAAGCTCACATAAAAGCTCACTGATCACTTGAGCGACTTGTTTCTGGATTGTTCTGGATGCATCCAATATCTTATGTTAATATGTCCTCCTGATTGGCTGCTGACATCTTAAGTAAATAGCTGATGCTTTCTCGTAGCGCGCGCAACAGTTTCAAAAATAAAATAACCTAAAATCGAGAGTTGGGAATGTTATCTTAAAAAAGTAACGTGTTACCGTTATAGTTATTTTTTATAAAAAGTATAACTTATTACCTTATTTACACGTTATTCATTTTAAAAATATCATCTCACAGTGCATTTGAAAATAGTAGTAATTCTTCTGAATTACTCACTTTCAAAGACGATTTACTTCAATCAATTAAACAAAACTGAAACAAATATAAACACACAGTACCTGTTTAAACGCAAAATTCACAAATACGCCAGAGAAAACGGTTCTCTGAAGCACGTATAAATTTTGGTTATGATTTTACTGAAACTAGAGAAAGGGAACGCTTCTCCCAATAATAACATGGCGGTTACTGGATACTGGAAATCAGCAAATGGGAACACACCCATAAACGTATACCTTAACAAACAATGCAAAAGTAGCCGTAGACGTCAGTTATTTGTTTTCCTGCTGGATTGCTTGCTAGCTGCATGATGGCTAGCTGGATCAAATTTTTACCTCCGTGAACCTAGCCCCTCATCTTCAAAATTTTGTAAAAATAAGTAGAGTTCTGGTAGCCCCCCGAAGAGTTCTAACGATTATGCTTAATAACCGATGCTATAAAATCAATATCTAAAAAGTTCTGTGAATTTGAAGTTTCAGATTTCGATTTTTTTCACTTCTATGAGCTAGAACTCTCTTGTTTGCGGTTTTAGTTATATTATTAAGGATAATCGTTAGAACTCTTCGGGGAGCTACCAGAACTCATGTCAGAACGTCGAATTTAAAGAAAAAAAATTTTTTTCGTAACTAGGGCGCGTAAAATGATAGTTTTACTCCCGCATTTGCGAGAGTAAAATGCGATTTTACACCCCGGAGAATTGCAAATAAATACACCCAATTACTCCCCACTCAGCAAAACAATCCATGAACCTCATTCCCCACCTTCACAGCTCCCTAGTACGAAAAATTTTGTTTGCGACTCGGGAGTAAGGTTTTCACACCCGCGTGTGTTCGACCATACACTCGGGCTGGCTTCGCCAGCCCTCGTGCCGTCGAACACCCTCCGGGTGTAAAAACCACTTTTACTCCCTAGTCACAAAAATATCTATTTTAGAAAAATTGCTTGTATAAAAAATTTTGGTAATCCGATGTTTTGTTGAGAGTTCTAGTAGCCCCCCAAAGAGTTCTATCGATTGTTCTTTATAGGCCAAGATGCTAAAATGAACGGTATAGAAGTTATAGTCCTTCAAAGTTGCAGAATTGTGAAGTTGGCCCCACGTCTACATCAAATAATGTTTTCTTTGTTTAAATCAACGGAACTCTTTTTAAATTTGTTATAGAACTCTAGAACTTTTCGGGGGGCAACCAGAACTCTACTTATTTTTATAAAATTTTGAAGATGAGGGGCCAGGTTCACGGAGGTCAAATTTTTGCCATCGGATTGGTTATAGTGCTGACAGTGCCAGTATTGCAGCCAATCCGATGGCAAGAATCTGATCCATTAATAATCTAGCAGGAAAACAAGCATCGTGTGCTTTATAGTTATTAGTGAAGTTCCCGAGCCTCGCGACCAATTACCGTACTCATGGAATTACAGTCATATATAGATAAAATGAGTGCGTTCAGCAGACTCAACTGTTTTATGATTCGTCTCGCTGATTGGATTGTATTTTTATATCTAAAGGAATAGTCCTATCTTAACGAAGAATCATAAAACAGTTGTAAAATTGTTGAGTCTGCTGAATGCAACCAATTGATTGCAATACTTTTTTCAATGATTTTTTGAGGGGGACTACGTATATTAGTTAATTATTAATTTGTTTTAATTCGTGATAGTACCGCGGTAGTTTACATATGAGCAATTAAAAATCCAAGCTAGACTTGTAGGTTTCGTGTTTGTATTATTTAGTTATGTTCTTACATTAACGGTCTTTAGTATTTGAATATTGTTTTTTCAATGAGTTTCAGAATGCAGCTTGCTCATCGAGAACAATTGGTTCTTACTTATAAATTCACATAAGTAAGAACCAATCGGTCGGTAAGCAGACTGTATTTCAAAACCCTATTTATGCCCATTTTCACCAATGTAAATTAATCTCGGTTCTATTTGCTCTTCATCTTTTTCTAGTTTTAAAAATTAGAAAAAGATGAACAGTAAAGGAGCCTACAGACCAGAACATAAATTTTCAAAACATTCATCAAAAAGATCTTTTCTTAATAACAATTTTTTTATAACTTAAGAATAATTTAACTAAATTTGAGTTGCACTAATCGCTTTGTTGAGAAATTTTATCCCAAGAAAGTATGGTTTTAAAAGTATTTTGAAGAATATTGGCCTGGTTTAATTTAACTTTTCATTATACAACACTCATATTAATTCAATTGAAGTAAATCCGAGCGATGAGTAAGGGCGGGTTCACACTTTGACGGAAAAACGGAAAGCGGAAAAGCAGTAGCCAATCAGGTAGTCGACTTTCTGTTAGTTTTGTACTATATACTACCAGCACGAGTTTTGATCGGTTAACTGCTCTTCCGCTTTCCGCTTTTCCGTCAAGGTGTGAACCCGCCCTAAGGGTTGGATTATACTGGCCGTAATCTGTTAACTTATGCCGTAATCTGTAAAAATTGACCAATCACAGTCGAATGAGAGGGGAATAATCGATTATAATTGGTCAATTTTTACAGATTACGGCATAAGTTAACAGATTACGGCCAGTATAAATCAATCTTTAATCTACATTGGTGGAAACGGGCATTAAAAAGACATCATACAACTATTCTGTTCACGACTGTACAGTTACGACTTCGCTATCTCTGTATCATAAGTAGCCCTACGGTCTTCAGTTGTCCGCTTGGGTCGCCAGTAGTTGCCAGTCTAGCGAATATGGCTGAGAACAATGGCATTGGTTGTTACTGAGCTAACTTTGTGTTCCGCTGGCACTTGTCAACAAAGACGTTACCCTTAATCAACGTGCGACGGATTACAGTCGCTTGGTATAGAGTAACCTGTAAGTTACCCGTCCTCTCGGGACCTCCCATCCTCGTACATTTACTTAGTAAGTAATCTCGAGAGTGTCTCGCTTGCAGAACGTTCTCGGAGGGTGCTGCGCGAGGCGAACGCACCTCGATCCCGGCGCCGCTCGATGATTCCCGCTGCTTTTTCAATGCGACGTTCGTCCTATCGATACTTCGACGTCGTGTCGTAATCCCGTGTTCCCGTCTTACGACGCGCAAACTACTCTTCCCCCCACGTGTGATCGCGAACATCATTTGTCTTCAGCATCCGCTCGGTCTTCTCCCTCGTGATTCACGTGATCCTGCTTCAACGAGGGTCGTTCGGATGCACGATCTTGCGTTTGCCTCGTTCATCTGTCGATTACAACGTAAATCCCGTTATTTTGTCGAGCACTATGATAATTCTGTCGATATTTAAATCGATTATTTACGTTGCATTCCGTTACTTACTAATTGAATTTCTTTGCACGAAGGTGTCGTGAATGAGCGTTATTTTTACGATGATTAAAAACACTTCGTTTTAGCCCACTATATAATTTACTACACATTTTGCATGCTTAGTAATTTTTTTGTATAAATTAGATCATTATTTTTGACATTATCTTCATAGGCATCCATCTTAAAACATGTAGTTTTATTATTTACTACATTAAATTCTTTGCATTTGAATTTTGCATTTATAAAATAGAAACCTGTATTATGTGTTAACAGTTATTGTTAAAAGTTATTAAAAACAAAACTGAGAGGTTGATTGTTTGAATATAGATAAATACTCGAAATTTGAGGAAAATGAGAAAAAAGTTCTAGTGCAGTCTAGTGTGACAAGAAGCAACTTGTTTCTTGATGCACTAGACTGTACTAGAACTTCTCATTTTTATCAAAGTTTAAGTATCTATTTTATTTTAAGTTAAAAAAATGTATATACTAATTCAGTTACAAAAAATAATCTTAGAATAGCCATTTCTGTCTTATATGTATTATTACATATATTCTCAAAATATATATTTTTCTCATAATTATTCTTCCATTTCAATAGAATCTAGTAGATGAAATATTGCAGTTTTAACGTAACTTATTAAATATTGAAGCAATTAAAGATTTTAATTGAACATATTAAAAATAGATGTTATTTCACAAATTTAATTTTAAGAATATAAATTAATATAACTTTGTTATTGTTATTTATATTTTGTTAATTTCTCACAAGTGCAAGTATAACATGTGTGTTTGTGTATTTTAATAAAAGTTTGAAGTTTAGTTATTACTATATCTAAAATTAAGATGAAAATACAAGTATAATAACTTTAACACAAAATATAATTAAATATTAAAAATTATCTCAATATATTTTTATCTATTGCAAAATATATTTAATTTGTAATTAGTTTTTTTAAATAAAATTATAAAATTGTGTTTTACTAAATAATAATGATTTTTGAATTTTTTTATATTCCATGTTATATCAATTACTTTATTTAATTATATCTATAAATTGTTATAACAAAAGAAAATTTTCTGTGTTTACTTAAATATATTAAGTGTTAATTAAGGCAAAATATAAAAATATATTTTAATGTATGAAAATCTGAGAAAATTTGAATACAATATAAAGAGTATATAATTCTTTTATTATTATATGTTGTAGGTACCCAATATTATGGCAACTGCTATTCAAGAAAATGGCATGAAACCGTTAACAAATTCATCACTGAATCATGTAAAGGATGTTAATAATTTGGACAATGCCTGTACAGAAGAAAAGGATCGTAGATTGTTTGATGATCAATCATACGTTGATCATGCCGAAAAACCTCATGAAGAGACTCATGAACAATCTCATGAAGAACCCCATGAAGAGCCAGAACTTGATATTGTTATTAACAATGTAGTTTGCAGCTTTAGTGTAAGATGTCATTTGAATCTGCGAGAGATAGCGCTCAATGGATCTAATGTTGAATATAGAAGAGAAAATGGGGTATGTGTTGATAATTTTTATATACTCCTTAATAAAAAATGATTTTTCTTCTTTGACTATATTGTAATTCTTGATAAATCAAAACTTTCATGAAAGTGCTATTCTTCTGTAGATCTTGGTCTCGTAATTAATTTTATTATATTTGTCATCATCATTAACAAAAAGAATTGTAGCTGCTCATCTAATCTCCACAATGGAAGACTAAACTTGTTTTAAAATTTATCCATTATTATTTGAAAATTTGTAATTGCAAATGGACAAAACAACCTTTACAATCGACTACATTTGTTTTAAAACTTATTTATCACTATTATTTTAGAGTTTCTATTTACAAAGAAAGGGATAAAACATTCTACTGATTTGTCTGAATTAAGTTATTTATATTTTGAGTACTTCGTTTTTATCACAATGGAATATTTTTCCTACTCACTAAATTCATAATATCATGAAATAATAATTTTGAGAAACAAATTTTGTGATAAGTAATTGCTTTAGCAATAAGCTATCTAGTACACTAAAAAGTTATTATTATTGTATAATTACAAGTCAATATCTAGTAAGAATTTATCAGAAACATAGAATATGGACCATATGTATTTAAATATAATAGCATCTGTATTTAAATATAATAGCATATCTAACATGGTCAACAAAAATAAGAAACAGGATTTGTGAAGACAGCCAATCTCTTTCTGTTTCTAAACAACATATATGACCAGAAAGAGACAGAGACTAATCATCTTCTTACCCTATCGCATTTTTACATACAAGCCTCTATTTTGAAAGGAAACAACTGAATTTTGAAAAACAATTTACATTATGGATTTTAAGTGGAATATTTAATTTGTACAAAGAATTTATCTTTACTTTGAGTCGTATTTTATTATATATATCAGGAAAAAATTGTTATCTAATTAATAAGATAATATCATAATATTATTCCTAAAAACTATTGTATGATTGAGTTACTTAGAAATATATAAAATACATAGGATATTTTATTACAACAGTTGTAATCTAATATGTGTAAGAGTGCTGCGTTTAGAAAAAAAACTGTTTCCTAAATGCAGCACTTTTACACATATTTGGTTACAGCTGTGTAATAAAATATCCTTGAGATTAACATGTAAAGAGCTTGTATTATATGTTTTCTATCATAGAAAAATTCATGAAAAAGCATATATATATGATTAGAAAATCTATAAATTTGCATATTTTATGCTTATTGTCATCTGCAATATTTTCAATTTTAGTTATGAATAAAAATTTCTGATTGTATGATAATAATGTAAATTATCTTGATAATTTATTATACATTTTTATTTACTGTTTTCTATTTTTATAGATAATATATTCAGAATAAAAAATAAACTATACTTTAAAGCATATATACAAATATGTTTTAAAATATAAATTTTTGTTTGTGATATTTTTAGATGATAACGATGAAATTAAGACGACCATATACTACAGCATCCATTTGGTCATCTGGTAAAGTAACTTGTACTGGTGCAACTAGTGAAGCTCAAGCAAAAATCGCAGCACGCAGATTTGCCCGTTCTCTTCAAAAACTTGGATTCAAAGTGAGATTCAATAATTATAGGGTGGTCAATGTATTAGGCACTTGTTGTATGCCATTTGCTATCAAAATAACATCATTTTCAGTGCATCACAAAGAAAATGCTGAGTAAGTATAAAAGAATGCATATTTATTAATTATAGCATAATTATACTATAAATATATCTTTTTCAGTTTATTTAAAAAATGATTCAATTAACACACTAATATATAAAGTATTTTTCACGATATAAAAAATTTTATACAAATATATAAATACATGATAGTTATATGTTTTTATATAATTTACAGTTATGAGCCAGAGTTACACCCGGGTGTTACATATAAGTTAAAAGAACCAAAAGCTACTCTGAAGATATTTTCTACAGGAAGTGTCACTGTAACAGGTTGGTATTATAATTATGTTTTGTTAATATAGAGAAACTTATCACTTTTGATACATTATTTTACTGAGATTTAATTTAACTTTTAATCTGTGTATGTCCTTAACTTAAAATTATATCAAAAATTTTATGAATTTTTAAATCAAAATAAATCAATATTTTTGTGTAAATAAGTATTTTTACATTGCATATTTTAATTTTGAGTAAAGCATTATTTAAAATGTTTAATTGAAAAAAGAAACATCGTGCGTGCGTGCGTGCGTGCGTGCGTGCGTGTGTGTGTGTGTGTGTGTGTGTGTGTGTGTGTGTGTGTG